TGTTTCCGGTTATGGAGGGGCATAGAAATATTTTGCCGTAAAATGTCATCAAATGTGGCACTCTCCTCGACCAAAAGTCTGGCGATGTGCGTCTTGAGCGAAGTGACTTTTTTGCACCCCATCCTGTATATTGAAAGCTAAAGTTTGAAACGAACTTTGGGTTTACCTTTGCTTCATTGCCGTGTTCATAGGCCAGACAAGAACGTGAACGCCAGGAACTGCAACGATATCAAGCTGAACTGAAGGAACTGAAGCGAGTTAAGGTGAGGTGAAACTTTGGTCTCTACATAGAAACTTTCATTCAATTACTAAGGAACGGAAACGTCGCTGCATGAGAGAGTGATTTGCTTTCCCTCCTACAGGGTTGTTTTCAAGAGAATTCTTTTTCAAAGGTAGTGATGGTAACTTCTGGATAGCGTGCGGTTTTGATGACGCCATTGAACGTAATTGGTGGAAGGTTAGCGTTGAAAGGCAGTGACCCTTCACCGTGGGTGTCCCCCAAGAGGCCCGTCGCGCGGCGAAGAAGAGACGCAGACGCGGCGAAGGAAGAGACGCAGATGCGGCAAAGGACGAGTCGCAGCGCGTGCTGTGCGATATGAGACGTAGTATGGTACACTCTATTTAACCTGACGCCTAACCGCTACAGTATGCGCTGCGACTCGTCCTTTGCCGCGTCTGCGTCTCTTCCTTCGCCGCGCGATGGGCCTCTTGGGGGACACCCCTTCACCGCGAGGGCCAGTCCACCTGTGACGTTCAGTGATGAGGGGAGCTCGTAGATCATAATTCAAGCGAGAAAACCAGTCCAGAATGTACAATGTCTTTTGGCTTTGATTGCCGTTGTTTTTTGATTTTTCTAAGAATTATTTCCAAGCGAGTGTGAGTGCATTAAATGAGTTGTCAAACGACTGCATTTTTGGTAGCAGGTAATTTGAAGTGCAAAACCGCTTGATTGTTCTTATTGAAAGTTTAAAGGTGGATCTAATGAAGAAGATAAAGGAAGAGATGAAGAAAGCTCAACAGCAACAGAGCAGCGCTTCGAAGAAACTGGCTGCACTGGATAAAGAAGCCAGGTACTTTATTCAGCAATTCATTTGTTCGTTTTGTTTTAGCAAGTGAGAATTTATAAGTCCAGCGTGCCCAAAAGGGATTAATGAGCTGAAAGCGCTATCTTACTTGTGTTCAGCTAAATTGATGTGGTCGGCTGCACCTATGACAGCTTTCTTGCAAGTCTATAAATCGTTTGTTCGATGAGGATACGCTAGTGGCGTAAAATTCCAAATTGTTGGCGCACCCGTTTAGACGAACTCTAATGGAGCCTTGGGTAAACCCAAGGGTGGGTTACTCAAAGAGTGCCACGAAGCGTTGCCTCACTCGCACGCACCTGCTGTTCAGCTAGCAGCCAGAGAAAGATGCACATGGAGCACGCCATGTGGGGAATGTATAGGGACGCTCCAGTATACCAAAACCTTTGGTCTCCTTTGCATGAATACTATCTTAATTAAGTGTTCAGTAACTTTTTCGAGCTCTCAGAATTGAACCATAGTAAAATTATAATCTGATCTGTCAATGACGGGGTGGCAGTCTGGGCCAAAATGAATACAAACTATTTCTGAAACATCAAGTCGTATAACTTCACGAAGGAAAGCCTTTTTCGTGAAAAAAAACACTATGGTGTGATTGGCTGCAGGAAGCTTTTATGTGAACTTGGCCTCCGCGTTCTATGAGGCGGGGTACGAAGGTCCTCCGTGGCTCAATCCTCATCCTTGACATGGGATTTATCTGGCAAGACGGTGTTGTAAGTCTCGCCCTCCTTTTACTTCGGTAGCGTATGCGGGCGCAGGGTGGAGTCTTGATCATAAGTTCGTGCCATGATTAGAAATCTGGCTGGAAGGGGAGGCACTTATGGAGGGCCCCGTTCTAGGCGTCTATTCTATTTTTTCGTCAGTGGCCACCGTCATGTATCCACAGTGTCATTTTTTACACCCCACTACGCAAATTGAACACAGATGTGGATTGGGCCTTCAGGCTTGAATCAATTGCTCATTTTTTACTCGGCAGTCGGCTCTCCACCTTAGACTTCATCCATTTTCCAGACGTCGCGATAATATCAATTCGTCAGTTGGAGAATAAGGATCGACAGCGGGAGCAGTTTATGAAGCGAACAACTGAGGAGATCAATCGATTGCGTAAGGCCCAAAAAGAACAAGCTAAGCAGGTTAGTGTTTCTTAGGAATTGTTTGGAAGTTCGTCTGTTATCATCGGATGGCGAACCGCTGTGGTGTATGGAATTCTGGGTCAGAAATGCGCGGTTCGAAAACAGTATACGCTTTCTATTTCATGCACATTCTCAATTAGCGGATGCAATTAGCTGCTCGGCTAATAGGAATTCTTATCGCATGCAATGATTCATTATTATCGATTGGAATGCTTAAATTTTGTGAGGGCTGGGATAGTGGATTACCCTGGTCAGATGGCTGACAGATACGCGCAGGGCCTATAGGAGATTTAAGTGACGCATTTCAAGTTCATACATTGTACAAAGTTATCGTAATATCAATGAAATGAGATTACTAGTAATAATGAACATTGCATGAATTGACTGCTGCTTAAGAAGCAACAGCCACATCAGAAAATCTTTTTTTAATCATTCATTGATTTTATCAACTTTTTATACTATTTGTGGTTTTTCATAGTTCCCTACTACATCAGCACCTTCGCTGAAAACATTATAATACGCAAAAAAGGATTTTCTTGTAGTCCGGTGCTCCATTTGCGGGGCTGCCTTTTAGTGCGCGCTGTACTACAAGATGGATTCTCTGTGAGCGAGAAGTCGCAGAAGGCAGCGCTTCAGAAGAGTACCCAAGAAACTGAGCCAAAATATGGATTATTGAGTGTGGTGTAGTTTAATACGCTTCAAAATTTAGCGCTCAAATAATGTGTAAGTTCATTCGAATGAAAAAAGTGATTCGCTCAAATCTTAAAAGCTACCACACGTTGCCCAGAAGGTGCAGACGCGACTATCTGGTGCTCCTTGCGTAATGTTTGAGGCAACCAGTTAGCTTGAAGCGACTTTTCTATACTATTATTTCTCACTTTATCAGTCATTTTTTGTGAAACGTAATGTTGAGCTCTTAGGTAATCTCCGTATGATCATGTGAAGGATAGTGCTTACTTTGTTTTTGCAGCTTGATTTCATAGTTTGAGGCTGAAGAGTTTTTGCGGCCTATAGAAATTTGTGATCGAATCACTGTCTTTAATATTCCTTGTAACTGCATTGTACTGTAATTTAAGCTCACGTTGTACATGTTTGGCACCTCCACAGATCATCCTGCTTATTTGTCAATCAATCTGTGGGAGAGTATTTCCCCTGGGTCGATCTCATCTTTTTTCTCGTGAACGCCCGTCAAGGAGGGGACCTCTTCTCGGAGTACTCGTGTACTTATTATAGCTTAGGATTTCCAATAGGGGAAGAATTATCAGATTTGTTGTGGGTTATAGCATTGGAGGGTGAAGAATATGATCTGCTCAGGCCTGAGAGGACTAATTTTTTTGACGTGGGCGGAAGTGGCACGCTTACCACGCGAGCGGTCCGGGGATCAAATCCTGGGTCGTGAGTCGCCCGGGCCAACCAAGCCTTCCATCCCTCCGGGGTCGGTTAATTGGTACCAGACTTGTCTGGGAGGATAAAAACACTGACTTGTACATCGGCTGGCCCCCGCAAGTCATTGTATAGGCCACATCGCATTCAAACGCCACTACGAATGTACAAATGGAAGTAGAATGCGTGCCGCATCCCAAAAAGGGATTGATCAACGGCAAATGCTTTATCCTTTATTTTTTTGACGTACATACTTTATTTCAATTCTCTGGCCTATTGATCGGTTGAAGAAAGAAAGGAAGGGAAGACAGATGTTCCATTGATTGTTGTGCCTTCTGTATCATTGTCGGTTGATAATGGTGTCGCTTTGAAAATCCATGCAAGATTATTGTTAATTATAAAATTTAGGTAGTTTCGGACTTCAGCGATTTCAACTAGGGAAATTTTTTGAAAATTAACTCCTCGTCGTCCTATTTTAGGACAGCTCAATTCGTATAGTTTCAGACGCGTCTTGCTACGACACCAAAAATGACCCCAGTGCGACCAACACCGTATCGTCCTGTACGAACTCCGGGTGTCCGCGGGCAGCCACCGCCTGAAGCCACCTATTCCCGAAGCAGGCAAAGATGAAGTGGACGTACATTGAAAAGAAGGTATTTGTTAGAAATTTGTCGAGTTTCAGTAAAGTAATCAAGTATTATCTTGGGGTTTTAAATGCGTTGAGGTCTCCGTTTTTTGAATTTTGCTCTATGTTTCCTGCCACGGCCATCTCTTTGTGATCTCCATGGAAATATGTTCATATTTATTGGATTTTAGCCAGTGTAACACTTGTAAGTTCAACTCAAAAAGCTCAATCCCAGTAACTCTATAAAATCGCAAGATATTCCACGTAGGAACGAGGCAGTTTCGAAGTAGCTGGGCTACAGTAACGTAACGGCTACATACAGTAAACTAACTAAAGACGCAGAGGCATAAATATATACTACAAGTCAGTTTGCACTGAAGATCCCGAAATGACTTCGAAACAATTTTTTGACTTTGAATAATCGGCTCTTTGGAAAATTCTCGTTTTTTACTTGATTTTTTCGTCTCTCAGGGAATTGAAAACCTCAGAAATTTTTTTTTGCTGCATCGGCGTGAGTGCTGGTTGAAATGCTTGGCTGCGTTGCTGCTCATCCGAGAAAATGATGCGTAGAGCGTTAACCTATTTTTCATGCGTATTTGTATTCTACCGGCGTCATTATTGAGTGGGACGGTAGGATTAAGGTGGGAAGGCTAGGCTGATCCGTTGACTGCTCATCTGAGAAAATGAATGCGTAGGCGTTAACGATTTTTCATGTTATTTGTATCTACCAGGGTCCATTATTGAGTGGGAGTAGATTACTAAGGCTTGTGGGGACTTGGGAGTGTTGTAACAAACGGTTGCATAACAAATCATAGTTACGCATGTGTCAGCTGTCTGTTGTTCGTTCGTTCCAAGCATTATTAATTTGCTGTGCTGGAGAATATTCCACCATCGGAAGATGGTCATGCACTCGAGTGATTTTAAAAGATGAAAGATTAGATTTACAACGGAACAGTTTAATGATATAAAAAAATCAATAATTTTATTGCCCCTCATTGCCCATGATTTCAAAATACTTTTCAGGGTTTTTCTTGATTCACGTGCTGCTTCAAAGTAACAGGCGAGGGATGGTTATGCCTTACTAGAGGTGGAAAGGTGATCTCGAGAAGCGAAGGAATCGAATTTGCTAAGCACTTGAGAAAAAAAGTTCCACTTATGGAATCCATACCTAGCTAGCTTTCAGTCATCAGGCAGGTTGCATTTTTATAAGCGAAATTGCACGGACTATGGTCAAAAGCTTCAAATGTCAAATCCACCATTTTTAATCTTATCAAGGGGATGGATAGAAGGCGTTGTTTTATATGCTGCACTCAGTGTGTTACTGTGTCGTACGGTAGCCATTATTTCAGCACCCACTTACCTTCTTTTTCACCTGATTCCCCTTTCAAATACTTTGGAACCTTCTCAGCTTCAAAAAGATTTTCGTATTATGTGTTTTTTTGCCGCTTTCGAAGTGGATTATCTCGCCCTTGCTTGACCCTTCGTATTGTTTTTCATTCCAACATTCGTGCTTTCTTATTGATCAAAGTTTCTTGTCAGTTGGGGGTTGACTCATCGAGCGTCGAGGCGTTACCATCCGTCAGGTACAAGGAAGTGCGTCGTTAGCATGTCCTTCCGTTTGCAAGTCATGCCGGTTTTGTTTTGAATGAGAACAAGGAGAAGGCAACGACAGTTCTTGTCTTCAACCGCACAAGGGTTTTGATCTAGAAATTGACGGTAAACCGAGTGGCACGGTCAGGCCTAATTTTGTTGGAATTGTTCAGTCCGCTGTACTGAGACATGTTATGAGGAGGCACATCTTCCTCTAGTGGCATGAATATTGTGATTAGACAGGACTGATACATACAAACGGCCAACAATCTCTCGGACTGGGGTTGAATCATGCGCATGCGCTTTGAACAGCTCCAGCGGCAGCTATGCGTACAAATAAGCACGTATGCAAACGGAATTGAGACCTCAAACATCGAATTACTTCGAGATGGAACCAGGCATGGGATTCAAAGAGGAAATTGATATGAAAACCCACGTAGACACATTGAAAATCAACGTTCGTCGTGAACAACCAAAAAATTTGGCTGTGGACTTTAAACAGGACAGATCTGGCCATGGAGCCAAAATTCTGCAAGAGAGGGATTTTGCAGGCTCATACTTTTCGGGGAATTGTTGCCTAGGATTTTCCTGCATAAGTCAGCCGGATTTTCTGCATGGTTCACTTGGAAGCAAAAACAAGCGAAAACTCCGAAGAACTTAGATTCCCTGAGAACATCGCTTGGAAACCTGAAAACCTGGAACCATTTTGACTCGGCCAACATGGGTGCCATCGTATACATCTTCCCTCTTCATCTAAAACCTATGTGAACGCTACAGGTTATAGATTTTAATCCCATCGGTTTGTTTTGTGTTGTTTAAGGCACCTTTTCGGAGCTTTATTTGTTTCATTAGGCTAATATTCGTTTTTAAATATCCAGTGCCTTGGCTACCATAATTTTAGCTCAGCCTGGATAGCTAACACAACACTAGGAGTTCTCATGATACGGGTGTCCCCCAAGAGGCCCATCGCGCGGCGAAGGAAGAGACGCAGATGCGGCAAAGGACGAGTCGCAGCGTGCTGTGCGATATGAGACGTAGTATGGTACACTCTATTTGAACCTGACGCCTAACCGCTACAGTATGCGCTGCGACTCGTCCTTTGCCGCGCCTGCGTCATCTATCCTTCCCTTCGAAATACGAGAGTAGCGTGGGGTGCAGACCATACACCACAAGTGACGGCAGCGTTAAGCAAAATTTGGTTAGTACAGTTCATAGTGGATAGTTCATAGATTTTTGGTGAATGATAGCTGTAATTATGACAACTGATGGAATACAACTGCAACAGGCTAATTATTTCATTGATTGAAAATATTTACATTTTGTTGGAGGCCCTCGCCAGTTATGGTGTATAGGTCTGCACCCGACGCTCTTCTTATTCTGAAAGGGATGTACACTTGTGTACTATGAGCCAATTCACGTTTGATCGAGCAACAACATGGGCGGTGAAATGGTGATCCTTTGAGGTGGGTGGTGATGAGAACGTCATTGTTTATGTTTGTTGAAAGGCTTTCAGATACGCGATCACTCATTCGGACACTAAAGTAGATTTCGCTAGATAGAGTTCAACATTCGGTGAGAGAACGCTGATTGTGAGACCGATGACAATGAAAGTGAATCCTATTTAGGGCTAGTTGCAGAATCTGTATTCAACAGTCAACGTAGGATTGAGTGTGTGATACTGAATAACGCATTGGATTGAGGAAAGTTTTAAGAATTAAGAAATAAGAAATTGAAAAATACAATATATTGAGGAATCATTGCTGAGGAATAATTCGAGTTTTCGATTACTTACAAAGTGATTGCATCTGTATATCTAATACGTATATAGTAAAGCAGGAAGAGCTAGCAATAAGACTTTCATATGGAGGGAAAAAGGCTTCTCGCTCGATGCACATCAGAAACACTTTCGTGTACAGCGCTGCCGCCATTGATCGAACATTTACGGACGGATATATTCTGAAATTTTATCCTAAAGCAAGGGCGAGATCTCTCGCTGCGCTCGCAGGCAGTCGGAGCTAAGGAAGCGTTTGCGCGCGGTTCCTTTTGGCCAGTTCTTTCTGTCGGCGGGTGGAGATGAGCTTCATGAAAAACTGTATTCATAATTCGTAATTGCTCTAAATTTTAAGTGGAGTCGGACTGTAGCCAGAAGAGTGGTTTGGAAGCCAGTTTCAAATGATAAAAAGAATATCTCTCTTCTGGGGCGTCCCCCTCCCCGCACCCTGAACTGATATACTTCCCTTCATAGTTATGCATACCTGAGGAGGTCCCAATCTTTTCTTGAGAGGCCAATCCTCGATGAGGAGTGGTCCCTAATCTCGTGGCTTCTTGGATACCCCTGAATGTCCTCGTCCTTGTGATGTGTGTGAGCGTTCCCTGATTTTTGTTGTTTTAGTTGCAGTTGTTTTGTGGTAGTTTCCATTACATCCGGTCTTCGATGTCTTCCTGAGACGGGTGATGGAAAGGATAGAAGCTTCCGCTGATCGCTGACCTCATCTAAGAACAGGTCCCCAAGCAATTTGTGTCGCGTTTGAGCTCAAGCCATGGAAGAGCATAGAATATTTTCAGGAAGCGTCAGCGCCAAAACATTTAGCCTAGTCGGGCAATTTCTTTGTTGACCGTAGAAGTTGGTAGTGATGTTTGGTTAAAAGCGAATTAACTGGTCAAAGTCACTTGCTCAGGTTGAAAGTTGCTGTCAGTTGAAATGATTATTTTTGCGAGCAAATTCGGGCTTAAAAGGGTTATCAAGCCCCATTTCATAGGCAGAGCTTCATTGATTTTTTCGAGGGTGTGAGATTGATAGCTACGGATGTTGCCGCACTGGCAGGAAGGAACTCGTTACTGTTCTCAATTTGTTGGCTAGCGCTCGTAGAGTCGATGTAGGAGTTTGATAAGGGCATAAAGTCTTCTTTGGAGGACAAGTAGACTTTAAAGAGCCCCCTATAAAAAATTGTCCTTTTCGATGCTTCCTATGCAACTTAAAAATTTAAGCAGTTTTGTATTGAAGCTTGGGGCTTGTCTCGAGAAGCTCTCTTTTCCAAATCCTCTCTTCGGTTTTGCTTTTCGTATGGAAATTTTGAAAAAGAGAGCTTCTAAAATTGGTGAAAAAAGGCGAAAGCCGATGAAGAGGTGCTCGGATAGCGTAGCTCCCAAATGGGATTCTGGTGAGATCGATCGATCTCTTTTCAATTGAGTTGCGCCGCGCACTCTACTTTTAATCTGAACCAAAGTGGCATTTTGAATCCGATTTGACTTGCACGGACCTACCTGAATGTAGAAGTCAGACCAACAGACCTTGTAAAAATTGACCAATCAAAGGGATGGAAGGCTTACTTGGCGTGGTAGGCGTACGATCCATTTGATCATGTGCCGTGTTTTTGGACTGGAGCCAATTACTACTACATCACTTCCGACCGTCCCTCTTGGCAGTTCCCTTTTTTCTTATTCATTATTATTGCCTTATACGACATTTTCAGATAAGCCGGTTGGTGACTCAAAAGCAGACAGTTGGCAAGATGGAGGAAGAGCTTGGAAGGTTGTTAGAGGAACGAGCACGGCTCACAGAGGAGATTAAGAATCTTGTGAGTGGTGTTCTATTTGTTTTCCACAGTGGCCTGAACTTTTAAGAAGGTATTATGGTAATCGCTCTGATGCCACGTGAAGCAGGATTAAGCAAGCCGTTTACTGATATCGCCATGTGAATGGCTTCCTTTAATATCGTCTAGTATTATAATTAGAAGAATGAACTAGAAAGAGGTTTCTAGTTAAATCGGAAGATGTTTGGCATAGAGAATCGGCAATTTGTTGGCTGAAAGAAAAGACTTCCAGCAGGCTGGTGACCACTGCTGGATGGCAAGTGGGTAGTTTGACCACTGTTTGAATTTGGTTATGCTGAGAACTGCATCCGTGAACGAGCAGAACGAGCCCCCTCATTGTAAATGCTGTCCGGCGTTGACCCTGCGCACAGCTCTCGTGCGCTTTTTTTCCTGGTGGGCGGTGAGATTGATGAAGTCTCTTGGGGAATTGTCATTTTTCTCAACGTCTTTGTCATGTCAAAAATCAAGGGCGAATTTTTGAGAGGGTCAGGTGTTCTGTTTTTCGCAAAAAATGTCAGTTTTCAGTATAGTTTTTATGTCAGCAGCGAATTACGCTGAACAGAATCGGGTGTGAAAGAGCAGTTTTCGTTT